CACCCTCCTCGTGTCTCCCGTGGAAACAGCGCCGTCATGTCGCGCGCGCGTCTCTGGAGCGTGTACCTGTGCCTCGCGCTCTCCTCCTGCGCTTCCGGGGTCCGCGCGGGGAGACACCTGCTGCGGCGCGAGGACGAGGACGGCACATGGTCCGAGAGCGTGGCGAGAGCGCGCTGTGCGTCAAGGTGTCTGGGACTGCACAGCGGACAGGTGAGGGGACAGGGACTGAACCGGGACTAAACCGAGACTGAACCGAGACTGAACCGAGACTGAACCAAGACTAAACCGGGACTGAACCGGGGTTAAACCAGGACTTAACTGGGACTGAACCAAGACTAACCTGGGACAAAATTGGGACTAAACCGAGACTGAACCAAGACTAAATTGGGGCTAAACTGGGGAAAAACTGGGACTGAACCTAGACTGAACCAAGACTAAACCAGGACTAAACCGGGACTGAACCGGGGTTAAACCAGGACTAAACTGGGACTGAACCAGGACTAAATTAGGACTAAACCGGGACTGAACGGGGGTTAAACCAGGACTAAACTGGGACTGAACCAGGACTAAACCAGGACTGAACCAGGACTAAACCAGGACTGAACCAGGACTAAACAAGGACTGAACCAGGACTAAACAAGGACTAAACCAGGTCTGAACCAGGACTGAACCAGGACTAAATCAAGAGTAAACTAGGACTAAATTGGAACTGAACCAGTAGTAAACCAGAAATAAACCAGGACTAAACTGGGACTAAAGTAGGACTTAACCAGGACTAAATCAGGAATAAACTAAGACTTAACAAGGACTAAATCAGAACTAAACCAGGACTAAACTGGGTCCTTGTTTAGACCTGGTTTAGTCCTTGTTTAGACTTGGCTTAGATCTGATTTGGACCTGATATAGATTTGGTTTAATCCTCTTGATTTAGACCTGGTTTTATCCTTATTTAGACCTCATTCAGACCTGGTTCAGTCCTGGTTTAGACCACTACTAGTTTCTATATTAGTTTTACTATCGATTAGTATCGATATCGAGTTCAATTTCTTTTCTTTTTACAACTCTAATTATGATTTCTACCACATTATTTGACCCGGGCCCAGAGGTCGAGGTTTGTGTTTTCAGAGCGAGATCCTCATTATTTTGATTATGTGACTCGTGTTGAGATGTTTGACTCCAGGCTCTGCTCTGTCTGTAACACAACTGTCATCGAGAGCTCCTCAGATACTCACAAACTAAACTAAAATAAAACTAAACTAAACTAAACTAAACCAGGACTTAACTAGGTCCTTGTTTAGATCTGATTTAGAACTGGTTTAGTCCTCTTGATTTAGACCTAAATGTAACTTAACTAAACTAAACTAAACTAAACTAAACTAAACTAAAACTAAACTAAACATAACTAAAATAAAACTAAACTAAACTAAACGTAACTAAACTAAAACTAAATAAAACTAAACTAAACTAAATTAAACTAAACTAAAACTAAATTAAACTAAACTAAACTAAATTAAACTAAACTAAAAAACCTAAACTAAACTAAAACGAAATTAAATTAAACTAAACTAAAACTAAACTAAACTAAAACGAAATTAAATTAAACTAAACTAAAACTAAACGTAACTAAACTAAAACTAAACTAAAACGAAATTAAACTAAACTAAACCAAAACCAAACTAAATGTAACTAAACTAAAACTAAATTAAACTAAAACGAAATTAAATTAAACTAAAACTAAACTAAACGTAACTAAACTAAAACGAAATTAAACTAAACTAAAGCAAAACCAAACTAAACGTAACTAAACTAAAACTAAATTAAACTTAAACAAAACTAAACTAAAACTTAACGAAACAAAACTAAACTAAAACTTAACGAAACGAAACTAAAACTAAACTTAAACTTAAACTTAAACTAAACTAAACTACTATACATGCATCTCGAATTTCAGACTTCCGGTCATTGTGTAATTCATACTGGGAAGGATCCTCCGAAAAAATGAGCATCAAACCGCCATGTTTGTTTTCCCAGTGGGATGTGTCTGTTGTCAAAGTCGATCTTTTCAAGTCTTTTGAACCATATCACTTTTGTTTCTGGTTCTGATATTGTCATATTTTAGTTTTGGGATTCGTACATCATAATTATGTGGTTGTTGGATCCTAACAGCGGAAAACGGGCTTCGGAAGTTTGCGAACTCCATAAATGCAAAAGGGAATCAGATGTGTGTGACTGTAAACCTCCGTTCAAACTGTTTCTCTTCCCAACGGAATTGAAAAATAGTGAAATGTGAAGGCGATGGGCAGGACGGATCCACAGGAAGGACGAAAATGGAAAAAGTCAACGCCAAAGTGAAAGGCTCCAACTGTTCACCAAGAAACACCTTCCACTGCAAAGAGACCGAGACGTGATGTTGCTGTAAAACCACAAGAACAAGAAAGTGCAGCTCAGTCTGTTTGTCTTCTGCACCTCTCACTTAACAAACGGGATTTTGCTTTGTAGTGGAGTAGAAAGTACAGATACCTGCTCTCAAATGTAGTGAAGTAAAAGTAAAAACTATCCACTTTAAAATGTACGCAAGTAAAGTAGAAATATCTGAATTTTTTACTTAAGTACAGCACTTTACTACTTGTACTTTGTTATGTAACACTGCTGTTTCATGGTTAAAAAATGTCGATTCTTTCGTGGCCTAACCGATAGTTCACGTGGAGCCAATCAATACTCAGCACGTGTCCATTTACAAATACTGAACAGAGGGACTAAACCAGGGCTAAACCAGGACTGAACCAGGGCTAAACCAGGACTAAACCAAGATTAAACTGGGACTGAACCAGTACTAAACCAGGACTGAACCAGGACTAAACCAGGTCTAAACCAGGACTGAACCAGGACTGAACCAGGTCTAAACCAGGTCTAAACCAGGACTGAACCAGGACTTAACCAGGACTAAACCAGGAATAAAGAAGGACTAAACAAGAACTAAACTAGGGTGTAACCAAGACTAAACCAGGACTAAACGAGGGCTAAACAAGAGCTAAACTAGGGCTAAACCAGGACTAAACCAGGATTAAACGAGAACTAAACTAGGGCTAAACCAAGAATAAACCAGGACTAAACCAGGGCTAAACAAGAACTAAACTAGGGCTAAACCAGGACTAAACTAGGACTAAACCAGGGTTAAAATAGGACTAAACTAGGATTAAACTAAGACTAAACTAGGACTTATCCAAGACTAAACCAGGGCTAAACGACAGCTAAACTAGGGTTAAACCAGGACTAAACAAGAATTAAACTCGGGCTAAACCAGGACTAAACTAGTGCTAAAACCAGGGCTAAACTAGTGCTAAACCAAGGATAAACCAGGACTAAAGTAAGACTTAACCAGGGCTAAACCAGGACTAAACCAGGACTATATTAGAACTAGACCGAGACCAAACCAAGACTGGACCAGGACGATAATGCTCGTGGACACATTTGACCTGTGAATTTAAAGTTGATAAAAGAAAGTCTCTTACAGCTTCAGTACACTGTGAGTGGATGGTTCTTGTGCTGATACGCTAACGCCCGGAGGAGGTTTCATGCTCCAGTTATTTATCGACGGCTAATGCTAACGCTACAATCACCACGGCTCATGTTGTACTCTAATAAACAGCTACTGGGTATTATGTATTTAAAGGTCTTATATTACACAAAACCGATTAAAAAACGGCTTAAAGTAGAAATGGGCAAAAATACTGAATTCAAAATGTGAAAACTGTACCAAAAGCTCATCGTTTTTGTCTTTTTTTTTTTTTTTTTTCAGAACAATGCGTCTTTGGACTGGTGTCAGAGCTCCAAACAGTGCGCAACGGTGAGTTTAACTACGGAAAATATTTAGATTAATATTCATAATGTAAATAAATATAAAAGTCCGAGCTTAGTCCTGGGTTAGACCTGGTTTAGATCTGATTTAAAACTTGTTTAGACCTGGTTTAGACCTGGTTAAGTACTGGGTTATATCTGGTTTATGACTGGTTTAGATCTAGGCTGGTCCTGGTTTAGTCCTGGTTTAGACCTGATTTAGACCTGGTTTAGTCCTTGTTTAGACCTGATTTAGACCTGGTTTAGATCTGGTTTATTCCTGGTTTAGACCTCGTTTAGACCTGATTTAGACGTGGTTTAGTCCTTGTTTAGACCCGGTTTAGACCTAATTTAGACTTGGTTTAGTCCTGTCTTAGACCTCTCTTAGACCTGATTTAGATGTGGTTTAGTACTGGTTTAGTCCTCCTGATTTAGATCTGGTTGAGTCCTTGTTCAGACTTGGTTTAGACCTGATTTAGACCTGATTTAGTCCTTGTTTAGACCTGGTTTAAACCTGATTTAGCCTTGGTTTAGAACTGGTTTAGTCCTCCTGATTTAGACCTGGTTTAGTCCTTGTTTAGACCTGGTTTAGATCTGGTTTAGTCCTTGTTTAGACATGCTTTAGGCCTGATTTAGACTTGTTTTAGTTCTGGTTTAGACCTCGTTTAGACCTGATTTATACTTGGTTTATAACTGGTTTAGTCCTCCTGATTTAGACCTGGTTTAGACCTGATTTCGACCTGATTTAGATCTGGTTTAGTCCTTGTTTAGACCTCGTTTAGACCTGATTTAGACTTGGTTTAGAACTGGTTTAGTCCTCATAATTTAGATCTGGTTTAGTCCTTGTTTAGACCTGGTTTAGACCTCACTTAGACCTGGTTTAGAACTGGTTTAGTCCTTCTGATTTAGATCTGGTTTAGCTCTTGTTTAGACCTGGTTTAGACCTGGTATTAGTCCCTGTTTAGACCTGTTATAAACCTGATTGAGACCTGGTTTAGAACTGGTTTAGTCCGTGTTTAGACCTGATTTAGAACTGGTTCAGACCTGGTGTAAACCTGGTTCAGTCCTGGTTTAGACCTGGATTAGTCCATGACAGATTAACACATGTAGAACACTTAAAAAAGCACCGTTTATTTCAGACTGGGTTTTAAAGAGGCCGATTCTGTGAGAGGAAATTGAAACGCCTCGTGCTGAAAACTCCATTTGACAAATCCAGGCGTCGGGAACATCACAGAGATTATAATCTGAACGCAGAGACAGTTTTAATCCCGGGTTAGCAGTTTTTCGACAGACTTTTATAGATAATGTCAGAGTGAAGCTGAAGGAACACGGCTTTATAATGGACCAAGGAATTTAAGACTGAAATCGTCTGTTTAATACAACTGTGAAAAAATAAAACCAGGACTAAACCAGGACTAAGTAAAGACTGAACCAGGACTAAACCAGAAATAAACCAGAACTAAACCAGGTCTAAACTAGGACTAAACCAGGTCTTTACTAGGTCTAAATCAGGTCTCAGTCAGGTCTAAAACAGGTTTAAAACAGGACTAAACAGATCTAAACCTGGTCTAAATCAGGACTAAACCAGGACAAAATCAGGTCTCGACCAGGACCGAGTTGTAACCTGGACTCAAACCAGGACAAAACCAGGTCTAGACCAGGACCAAGTTGTAACCTGGACTCAATCCTGGACTGAGTCAGGACTCCTAAAAAGGTGCTGTTACTAATACACTACTAAACCAGGACTAAAAAACAACTAAACCAGAACTAAATAACAATTGAACCAGGATTAATGAGGACTAAACCAGGACTAAAACAGGGCTAAACTGGGCCTAAACCAGGGAAGAACCTGGACTAGTCTAGTATTAAACCAGAACTTAAAAAGGACTAAACAGAACTCAACCTGGACTGAAGGACTACACCAGGATTTAACCATATCTAAAACAGGACTGAACTAGGACTCACCTCATGTTTTGTAATTATTTTGTGTTTGTGGACAGTGCCTGGAGCCCTGCAAAGCATCATGGGTAATGAAGAAGAGGAGCAGCTGTGACCAGATGTGTCAGGTAAAGACTATTGGTCTATTATATAGTCCTAGTTTAGTCCTGGTTTACTCCAGGTTTAGTCTTATTCCTGGTTTATTCCTGTTCTAGACTTGGTTTTAGTTCAGTTGGTTTGATTTAGTCCTGTTTTGATCCAGTAGTAGTAGTGTTACTAATACTAACTGTAGTAGTATTAGTATTATTAGTATTAGCAGTAGTAGCAGTAATAGTAGTACCAGAGTTACGAGTATTAACTGTAGTAGTATTAGTACTAGTAGTAGTAGTAGTAGTAGTAGTAGTAGTAGTAGTAGTAGTAGTAGTAGTAGTAGTAGTAGTAGTAGTAGTAGTAGTAGTGCCAGTGTTACAAGAATTAACTGTCATAGTATTAGTAGTAGTAGTAGTAGTAGTAGTAGTAGTAGTAGTAGTAGTAGTAGTACCACTGTTACTAATATTAACTGTAGTACTAGTAGTAGGAGTAGTAGTAGTTCTAGCGTTATGAGTATTAACTGTAGTAGTAGTGGTAGTAGTAGTAGTAGTAGTAGTAGTAGTAGTAGTAGTGTTATGAGTATTAACTGTAGTAGTAGTGGTAGTAGTAGTAGTAGTAGTGGTAGTAGTGGTAGTAGTAGTAGTAGTTAGTAGTAGTAGTAGTAGTCGTAGAACCAGTGTTACTAGTATTAACTATAGTTGTAGAAGTAGTAGTAGTAGTAGTAGTACCAGCGTTAGTAGTAGTATTATGTAGTAGTAGTAGTTTCAAGTATAGTTGCAGTAGCAGTTTTTTTTTTACCTTTATAATATCTTACACCTCTCCTCTCCCTTCCAGACTACATTTCCCATGATGCCGTGGGAGTGCGTGAGCAGCTGTCAGTTCCTGGTCTCGGCGCTCTCTCTGAAGCAGGGTCAGTGCCCGGGTCCAGACCGCGCTCAGGGCTTCGACGCCGCCTGTGTCCAGAGCTGTGCCCACGACCACGACTGCCCCAAAGCCAGGAAGTGCTGCTCCAACGGCTGTGGGCAGACCTGCCAGAACCCGGACCAGATCTACGCCGGTCAGTCCGGGTTTAGACCTGGGATAGAACGGGTTTAGTCCTGGCTTAGTCATGGGATAGCCCGAGTTTAGTCCTGGAATAGACCGGCTTTAGACTGGAATAGTCCTGGGTTACATCTGTAATAAACCTGCTTTAGTCCTAGTTTAGATTTGGGGAAGATTTTGCTTAGACCTGGTTCAGTCCTGTTTTAGCCCTAATTTAGTCTGGGGTTAGTCCTGGTTTAGCCCCAGTTCAGTCCTGGTTCAGTCCTGGTTTAGCCTTGGCTCAGTCCTGGTTTAGCCCTGGTTTAGCCCTGGTTTAGCCCTGGTTCAGCCCTGGTTCAGTCCTGGTTTAGGTCCTGACTCAGTCCTGGGTCAGTCCTGGTTTAGCCCTGGCTCAGTCCTGGTTCAGTCCTGGTTTAGCCCTGGCTCAGTCCTGGTTCAGTCCTGGTTCAGTCCTAGTTCAGTCCTGGTTCAGTCCTGGTTCAGTCTTGATTCAGTCCTGGCTCAGTCCTGGCTCAGTCCTGGCTCAGTCCTGGCTCAGTCCTGGCTCAGTCCTGGCTCAGTCCTGGTTCAGTCCTGGTTCAGTCCTGGTTCAGTCCTGGTTCAGTCCTGGTTCAGTCCTGGTTCAGTCCTCTTACCTCTCTGCTCTGTAGGAGTGCCTCTGAAGCCCAGGAGGGAGCTGATGTTCAGGGAGGAGGCGTCTGGGGAGGTGGAGGTCAGGTGGTCGGGTCGGTCCGGTGTCTCTGTGGATCCGGTTGTTTATGTTCTGCAGCGAAGGTGGAACTTTGGCATCCAGCCCAGCGAGGACAGCGCCACCAGCTGGGAGGAGGTGGCACAGGTGAGGGTCCATAAGGTTGTAAACAGTGGTGGGAAAAGTAAATGATATTGTCACTAAAGTAAAAGTACAGCAAAAAAAAAAAACTCAAGTAAAAGTAAAAGTATCACATGAAAGATCTACTTAAGTAAAAGTATGAAAGTACCCGTTTAAAATGTTCTTAAAGAGTAAAAAACCTAAGTATTTCACACAGATAGCGATGTTGATACAGAATTTTGTTCAGCAGAAATAACTTAATCTGTTTTTGTTTTTTTGTTGTTGTTGTTTTTTTTTTGTATATTTTTGTTTACTCAAACTATGAACGTGTTAAAATAAACCTCAGGCAGGTCACAAACTATAATAAAAATACTTTTAGTTTTCAGTCCTGTTCAAAAATATAGTAAAATATACTTAAGTAAAGTACAAATAGTAGTAGTAGCAGTGATAGTAGTAGTAGTTGTAGTAGTAGTAATAGTAGAAGTAGTAGTAGTAGTAATCGTAGTTGTAGTAGTAGTGGTAGTGGTAGTAGTAATAGTACTAGTAGTAGTAGTAGTAATCGTAGAGGTAGAAGTAGTAATAGTAGTAGTAATAGTAGTAGCAGTGGTAGTAGTAGTAATAGTAGTGATAGTAGTAATAGTAGAAGTAGCAGTAGTAGCAGTAGCAGCAGTAGCAGTAGTAGTAGTAATAATAATAGTAGCAGTAGTAGTAGAGTAGGAGCGCAGTAGTGCTTTGTGTCTCCACGGTAACTGCTGAACATTTTACCATACACATACCTTTTTGTGCAGACGTCCTCCCCCCGGCTCCTGGTCCGGCTCCGGCCCGGGCGCTGGTACCAGTTCAGAGTGTCAGCGGTGAACTCCCAGGGCTCCAGAGGATTCACCCCCCCGAGTAAACACGTACACTCCAGCACAGGTACTACTACTACTAGTACTACTACTACTACTATACATGTAGTACTCTATGTGAGAGAGGAGTAGGAGTGGTAGTAACAGTAATACAACTAATAATATCAGCAGGAATAGAAGTAGCATAGCATAGTAATAGTCACAAAGACGATGCAAGTTTAGGCCTGGTTTAGTGCGGGTGTTATTCCTGTTTAGTCTTGGTTTAGTCCTGGTTTAGACTAGTTTTAGTTCTGATTTTAGTCCTGGTTTAGACTGGTTTTAGTTCTAGTTTAGTACGGGTTTTAATCCTGGTTTAGTCTTGGTTTAGTCCTGGTTTAGACTAGTTTTAGTTCTGATTTTAGTCCTGGATTAGACTGGTTTTAGTTCTGGTTTAGTCCCAGTTTTAATCCTGTTTAGTCTTGGTCTTGGTTTAGTCCTGGTTTAGACTGGTTTTATTTCTGATTTTAGTCCTGGATTAGACTGGTTTTAGTTCTGGTTTAGTCCCAGTTTTAATCCTGTTTAGTCTTGGTCTTGCTTTAGTCCTGGTTTAGACTGGTTTTAGTCCTGATTTTAGCCCTGGTTTAAACTGGTTTTAGTTCTGATTTGAGTCCTGGATTAGACTGGTTTTAGTCCTGGTTTAGACTGGCTTTAGTCCTGATTTTAGTCCTGGTTTAGACTGGTTTTAGTCCTGATTTTAGCCCTGGTTTAGATTGGTTTTAGTCCTGATTTTAGTCCTGGATTAAACTGGTTTTAGTTCTGGTTTAGTCTGGGTTTAGTCTTGATTTAGTCCTGGTTTAGAACGACGTACGTCCTGGTTTACTCCTAGTTTAAACCAGTTATAGACCTGATTTAGTCCTGGTTTAGTCCATTTGGTTATATTGATATTGAAATAATCTCTCTGGAAGGGCATCTGGTTTACTGTCTCTCTGTTTGGATCCTGATCTCCTCCAGAGCCGTCTCCTCCTCCTCCCCCCTCCCACCTCCAAGTTTCCAACCTCACCTTTGGTCCGGGTCGGTCCGCTTCAGTCCGGATCATCTGGGAACCTCCTGTAGACCCAGACCAGGTCCAGGATTCCAGTCTGGAACAGCGAATCCCAGTCCAGTTCTACTCGGTCTCATGGAGCTGGACCTCGGAAGAACCAAAACCTGGAACTAAACCAAGACCAGCTGAGAAGAAGAGGAGGAAGACTGTCAGAGAGGTGAGACCTGGTTTAGTTCTGGTTTAGTCCTGATTTAGTCCTGGTTTCAGGTTTAGTCCTGTTTAGTTCTGTTTAGACCTGGTTTAGTTCTGGTTTAGTCCTCTTTTAGTTCTGATTAGGTCCTGGTTTAGTCTCTGGTTTACTCCTGGTATAGTCCTGATTTAGACCTGTATTAGTCCCTGGTTTAGTTCTGGTTTAGACCTGTATTAGTCTCTGTTTTAGTCCTGGTTTAGTCCGTTTTTTGTCTTGATTTAGTCCTGGTTTAGTCCCTGGTTTATTCTGGTTTAGTCCTTTTTTAGGCCTGGTTTAGTCTGTTTTTTGTCTTGGTTTAGTCCTGATTTAGTCCCTGGTTTAGTCTTTTGGTTTAATCCCAGTTTAGTCCCTGGTATAGTCCTGATTTAGACCTGGTTTAATTCCTGGCTTAATCTTGGTTTAGTCCTGGTTTAGTCTTGGTTTAGTCTTGGTTTAGTCCTGATTTAGTCTTGATTTAGTCCTGGTTTAGTCCCTGGTTTAGTCGTGGTTTAGTCCCTGGTTTAGTTCTGGTATAGTCCTGGTTTAGTCCTGGTTTAGTCTGTTTTTTGTCTTGGTTTAGTCCTGATTTAGTCCCTGGTTTAGTCTTTTTTTCAGGCCTGGTTTAGTCCTGGTTTAGTCCCTGGTTTAGTCTTGGTTTAGTCCCGGTTTAGTCCCTGGTATAGTCCTGATTTAGACCTGGTTTAATTCCTGGCTTAATCTTGGTTTAGTCTTGGTTTAGTCCTGATTTAGTCCTGGTTTAGTCCCTGGTTTAGTCGTGGTTTAGTCCCTGTTTTAGTTCTGGTATAGTCGTGGTTTAGTCCTGGTTTAGTCTGTTTTTTGTCTTGGTTTAGTCCTGATTTAGTCCCTGGTTTAGTCTTTTTTTCAGGCCTGGTTTCCTGGTTTAGTCCTGTTTAGTCTTTAGTCCTGTTTAGTCTTTTAGTCTGGTTTAGTCCCTGTTTTAGTTCTGGTATAGTCGTGGTTTAGTCCTGATCTTTTATTTAATTTTGTTCTAATTCTTCCTGGTTTCAGTCCTCTGTGTCTCTCTGGAGTCTGCGTCAGAACAGGACTTACTCTGTGGAGGTTCAGGCCGTTTCGTTCTGGAGACAAAATCTTCTCAAATCTAAAAAATCTACAATTCAGTTCAGCACTCACGGTAAGTCAGATGCCCTCCCAGATGTTGTGAAGTGGGTGGATAAATACAGCAAGACTAACATTTGGGGTTTAGTCCTGGTTTAGTTCCAGTTTAGACCTGGTTAAGTCCCGATAAATGAAATGATCAGGGAAAACAATCCGTGTATCATTCGTTCATTCATTTTTCAATATAAAACCAAAAGTAAGAAAATGAAAAAACAACTATTTTGGAAAAAACAGATAAACCAGAACTAAAACTAGGACTAAACCAGGACTAAAACAGGACTGAAGCAGGACTGAAACAACACTAAAACAAGACAAAACCAGGACTAAACCAACACTAAACTGGTCTCAGTCCTGGTCCTGATCTGGTTCCGGTCTCAGTCCTGATCATCCGACAACTCAACTCGACAACCGTGCACCTCCGGGCCTGTCCCGACACTCAGTCCTGTTTCAGTCCTGGTTCAGTCCTGGTTCAGTCCTGGTTCAGTCCTGGTTCAGTCCTGGTTCAGTCCTGTTTTAGTTCTGGATTCGTCCTGGTTCAGTCCTGTTTTAGTCCTGTTTTAGTCCTGGTTCAGTCCTGGTTCAGTCCTGTTTTAGTCCTGGTTCAGTCCTGTTTTAGTCCTGGTTCAGTCCTGTTTTAGTCCTGGTTCAGTCCTGTTTTAGTTCTGGATTCGTCCTGGTTCAGTCCTGTTTTAGTCTGTTTTAGTCTGGTTCAGTCCTGTTTTAGTCCTGTTTTAGTCCTGGTTCAGTCCTGTTTTAGTCCTGTTTTAGTCCTGGTTCAGTCCTGTTTTAGTCCTGGTTCAGTCCTGTTTTAGTCCTGGTTCAGTCCTGTTTTAGTCCTGGTTCAGTCCTGTTTTAGTTCTGGATTCGTCCTGGTTCAGTCCTGTTTTAGTCCTGTTTTAGTCTTGGTTCAGTCCTGGTTCAGTCCTGTTTTAGTCCTGTTTCAGTCCTGTTTTAGTCCTGGTTCAGTCCTGGTTCAGTCCTGTTTTAGTCCTGGTTCAGTCCTGTTTTAGTCCTGTTTTAGTCCTGGTTCAGTCCTGGTTCAGTCCTGTTTTATTCCTGTTTTAGTCCTGGTTCAGTCCTGGTTCAGTCCTGGTTCAGTCCTGTTTTAGTCCTGTTTTAGTCCTGTTCAGTCTGTTCAGTCCTGTTTTAGTCCTGTTTAGTCCTGGTTCAGTCCTGGTTCAGTCCTGTTTTAGTCCTGTTTTAGTCCTGGTTCAGTCCTGGTTCAGTCCTGTTTTAGTCCTGGTTCAGTCCTGTTCAGTCCTGTTTAGTCTGGTTCAGTCCTGGTTAGTCCTGTTTTAGTCCTGGTTCAGTCCTGGTTCAGTCCTGGTTCAGTCCTGTTTTAGTCCTGTTTTAACAATGAAACAAAACACAACTCCAGGTCTATTTTTGAGAAGGAAACAACATTATAACTCAACTTAAATCTCACAAGAGTCAGTTTTGTGCAATATTGGATCTTTAAACTAACTTGAATGTCATTTTCTCCACAGCTCCTCTCCTTCGATCATTTCTTCCTGAATCCTTCTTAAACGTTGGGACTCCGTTTTACCAGGACGGAGAGCTCAGAGTTCACCTGTACTGGAAAAAAGGTACCAGCAAAACATCCAAGTCTGTGTCTTTTTCTGTTTCTCTCTCTCCTCTATCGCTTCCCCTACCCACTCTCTTTCTCTCTCCCTCTCTTTCTGGCACTTCTCTCTTTCCTTCCTCTCCCTCCACTCTCTTCTCTTCTCTCTCTCCACACTCTCCCTCTCCCTGTCTCTCCTCTTTCTTCCGCATTCTCTCTCTCTTTCCCAATCTTTCTCTTGCTCTCCACTCTCTTCTCTCTTTCCCTCCTCTCTCTCTCTGTCTCTCCTCTCTCTTCCTCATTCTTTCTCTCTTTCCCACTTTCTCTCTTACTCTCTCCACTCTCTCCTCTTACAGGTTTAGACCTGGTTTTAGTCCTGGTTTAGTCCTGGTTTAGTCCTGGTTTAGTCCTGGTTTTAGTCCTGGTTTAGTCCTGGTTTTAGTCCTGGTTTACTCCTGGTTTTAGTCCTGGTTTACTTCTGGTTGTAGTCCTGGTTTAGTCCTGGTCTTAGTCCTCGTTTTAGTCCTGGTTTTAGTTCTGGTTTTAGTCCTGATTTTAGTCCTGGTTTAGTCCTGGTTTAGACCTGGTTTTAGTTCTGGTTTAGTCCTGGTTTAGTTGAGGTTTTAGTACTGATTTACTCCTGGTTTTAGTTCTGGTTTACTCCTGGTTTACTCCTGGTTTAGTCCTGGTTTAGACCTGGTTTAGTCCTGGTTTAGTCCTGATTTTAGTCCTGGTTTAGTCCTGGTTTAGACCTGGTTTTGTCCTGATTTTAGTCCTGGTTTAGACCTGGTTTAGTCCTGGTTTAGACCTGTTTTAGTCCTGATTCAGTCCTGTTTTAGTCCTGGTTCAGTCCTGTTTTAATCCTGGTTCAGTCCTGTTTTAGTCCTGGTTCAGTCCTGTTTTAGTCCTGGTTCAGTCCTGTTTTAGTCCTGGTTCAGTCCTGTTTTAGTCCTGTTTTAGACCTGGTTTTAGTTCTAGTTTTAGTCCTGTTTTAGTCCTGGTTCAGTCCTGTTTTAGTCCTGTTTTAGACCTGGTTTTAGTTCTGGTTCAGTCCTGTTTTAGTCCTGTTTTAGACCTGGTTTTAGTTCTAGTTTTAGTCCTGTTTTAGTTCTGGTTCAGTCCTGTTTTAGTCCTGTTTTAGACCTGGTTTTAGTTCTGGTTTAGTCCTGGTTTTAGTCCTGGTTTAGATACACAGTACACAGTGCACCTTTTAAGATTTATAAACAAAAGTATAAAAAGAAATTATGATAAAATAAGCTGATAAAGAGACAGTTCTTTTCTTCTACATTTTTTTTCAGACTCTTCGACAGAGTTTTACAAAGTCCAGTGGAGTCCTGAACACTGTAGCCACAACCTGACCAAAGAAATGCAGAAAATTGTAACTGAGGTAAAAGTTTTAACACTAAATATTTACGATTTGTTCACTTTTTAAATTCTAATATTCATTTTGCCCGTGTATTTCCTGATTTCCTGTAGGAGAGTTTCGTGAGTCTGTCGGGGCTGCTGTTCTCCTGTAAGTACCGAGTGGTTCTACAAAAAGTCCAGACCAAGACCGGGTCCAAGTCCAAGCCCGAGATTGAGTCCTGGTCCGGTTCTAAGTCCGAGTACGAGACCAGGACTTTCCTAACTCCGAGTTGCTCCGTGGTTCAAGCCAAAAGTGTGAAACCGATCGACTGTACGGAACAAACCGGTAAATATTTATTAACATTTAAAGTACGAAAACTGAACTTTAAGTCGTGTTATAATGTTGTTTTCTCCTCAAAAACTGAACTGGAGTTTTGTTTTTATTATTATTATTAGTCTGTTTACAGCTCCAAAGCTCAAAATGCTCTGTTCCACCTTGTGATGTCATGAAGTGGTAGTTTTCATATTAACAGCTCCTTTTCAGGAGTCCTGGCTCAGTCCAGGTTTGAGTCCAGGTTACAACTTGATCCTGGTCTAGACCTGGTTTTGTCCTGGTTGAGTCCAGTTTTAAACCTGATTTAGACCTAATATAGACCTGGTTTAGATCTGGTTCAGAACTGGTTTAGATCTGGTTCAGTCCTGGTTTAGTCCTGGTTTAGATCTGGTTCAGTCCTGGTTTAGTTATGGTTTAGACCTGTTTTAGACTTGATTGAGACCTGATTTAGACCTAGTATAGACCTGGTTTAGTCCTAGTTTAGGACCTGATTTAATTCTGGTTTAGTCCTGGTTTAGACCTTGTTTAGTTCTGGTTTAGACCTGATTGAGCCCTGATTTGGACCTGGTTTAGACCTGGTTTAGTCCTGGTTAAACATTGCTTTGGTTAAACATTGTGAGTTTTTTTTTTTTTTTTTCCTTTTTAAACAGGACCAAGTCTGAAGAAGGACCAGCAGCAGCCAATCACCAAGCAGCACTGAGATCAGACAACCAATCAGGATTCAGGAAAATTTTAAATTGGATATTTATTTTTTTTCTACTGACTAAAACTGGTTTAATCCTGGTTTAGTCCTGGTTAAACATTGCTTTAGT